TTGATTCCCATTCGGAATTTTAGTGGTGCCCCAATTAGGGCATTTTCAATTAATTTTCGAACATTTTATTTATCGCGTCTTGGAGGAAAATTAAGGGTCAAAATCCAACGCAAATACTTGGGGGTGAAATTTTCTGCGCAACATGCATGCGGGGGGTTGGGGGTTTATCCCCATTCGGAATTTTAGTGGTGCCCTAATTAGGGCATTTTTAATTATTTTTTGAAAATTAACTTTACTCAGTCTTGGGGGAAAATCAAGGGTTAAAATCATACGCAAACACTTGGGGCTGAAATTTTTTGTGCAACATTNTTGGGGGTTTATCCCCATTCGGAATTTTAGTGGTGCCCTAATTAGGGCATTTTTAATTATTTTTTGAAAATTAACTTTACCCAGTCTTGGGGGAAAATCAAGGGTTAAAATCATACGCAAACACTTGGGGGTGAAATTTTTTGTGCAACATGCACAGGGGGGGTTGGGGGTTGATCCCCACTTGGAATCATCTTGGTGCCCTAATTAGGGCATTTTCAATTAATTTTCGAACATTTTTTTTATCGAGTCTTGGAGGAAAATTGAGAGTTAAAATTCAACGCAAATACTTAGGGGTGAAATTTTTTGTGCAACCTAGTGAGAGCACCAAGATGATTCCAAGTGGGGATCAACCCCCAACCCCCCTGTGCATTTTGCACAAAAAATTTCCCCCCAGAGGGTTTGAGTTGAATTTTAACCCTTAATTTTCCTCCAAGACTCGATTAAAAAAATGTTTCAAAATTAATTGAAAATGCCCTAATTAGGGCACCAAGATGATTCCAAGGAGGGATCAACCCCCAACCCCCGCTGTGCATGTTGCACAAAAAATTTCCACCCGGAGTGTTTGCGTTGGATTTTAATCCTTTATTTTCCCCCAAAAATGGGTGAAATTCATTTTTGAAAATCAATTAAAAATCCCTTAATGAAGACACCAGGAAAATTCCTAGTGGAAATCAACCCCCAACCCTTGGGGTACATTGTGAAAAAAAAACTGGACCCCAAGTGTTTGCCTTGAATGATAATTTTTTTTTTTCACTTGGATTTTCAACAATCAATTGAAAATCCCCGATTGAATTCACCGAGATATCTCCTCCCCCAATAGTCTTCCCCATCCCTCAGCTACAAATAGAGAATATTTTTAATTGTATACGGCTTTGTTGTTTATTAATTTTTTAATTGAATAACGTGGGCGCGTACAGTGAACGACGGTAGTGGGGGCCGTAGTCCCCCCACCACATCTCCCGCTACGTTCTCCCGCCAGTTTCATCGTCATAAATAAAATAACTCATTGTTCAGATATTTCCATCAGAAATTAATTAGGATTTGGGGAATAGGCGTATGGAGTATTCTGAATTTCGGAGTACTGTTGATTTTTATTAAATCTATCTTAATTTTCGAGAGAATAGAAGAAAAACTGTGGAGGAGAAAATTTTAATTTATTTAGTACACCTCAGTGATGGTACCCTCAAATTTAACATGAGAAATCTTATTTTCATACTGGTAACAAATCAAGGAAGAACTAACATACTTTAATTACCTCATTTTCTCGATGATTTTTTTTTCTCGATTATTTTTGAGGACGAGAAGATTGGCAATGGAAAAAAAAATTTCAACATTTTTGAAATAAAATCACTCATTGTTCAGATATTTGCACTTTCAATGAGAAATTAATTAGGATTTGGGAGAATTGACGTATGGAGTATCATTAATTTCGTAGCACTGTTGATTTTGATTATATTTTTTTTTATTATTTTCGAGCGATTTTAGGAGAGAATGGAAAAAACTGTAGAGGAGAAAATTTTAGATGTTAACCTTAAATTTAACGAGAGCAATTTTATTCTCCTGATGGTAGCAGAGCGAGAAAGAAGTAACATAATTTAATTACCTCGTCTTCTCGATGATTTGTTCCGATCACTGTTTTATTTTTGTCTTTCACTCACAATTTGTTACACAAATAATCCAAAATTATGAAACACAGTATATACGCAAAATAACTCCAAAACGTCTTCACTCTACTTCTCCACGTGTTGACGCTCTAACAGACTACACGGTGACGTCATGCGCAAGCGCATTGAGTCGGAGAGAGGCTCGTGTGCGTGCGAGCGGTGCCGACATAGGGCACATTGTTCTCCAGGGGTTCTCCGATAGAGGCTACCTGGAGGGGTAGAAATAGAGAATTGCGTTAAACTTTATCCCTGTAGGAGATACATGAAAATGTTTCCTACAAAAATTGTCGGAAATATTATAATAAAATTTATGAAAAAAAAAAAAAAATAATTCATTGATTGGAAAATAAGTTATAATGAATTTTAGGTCGTAATTCCGTGAAAATTGCTTCCCAATGGGGTAAAAAAATGAGACTTGAAGCTTGAACCTTTCTAAACATTCAATAAGACGGAAAAATTAAAAAAAAAATTGTTTTTGAATGTTTTTTTAAATTTTTCTCACCCCGAGTTTTTGAACGGCTCTGGGGGATGAACGACGCGAAATAGGGGTGAAGTGGTTAGGACCTTTTTTGTAGAGAATGTTGCGCTCTACAATTTTGTTTTCGATGCTTCACATCGTAGCTCGAGTATTTCTCGAGTTATTTCAGAAAAACACTTTTTTGGGGGTAAATTTCAATCACCCCTTACCGGAGGGTGAGTACCTTGATTAGCCTCAAATATTGATTATAAGTCAAAAATTGATTTTTACACAAAAAAGCAGGCTGTTTTGCAGAATCATGTATTTCAGACCTTCTTTCACTGGACTACAATGACTCTGAAGATAACATCATGTGGCAATTTATTCGAACGACACTCTATTTCTGTTTCATACGTTCATGATCGAACACGTCCGTTCGACTTCGACTTTCGGTGAATCGATTCGACATTCTTCAATTCGAGTTTTCATTCGGCAGCCATTATGCTTTCCTTTATATATAAGGATATATTTTATAACTAGTATTTTTATTTTTATTCGAATTTTTGGTGCTAGATTAAATTGCGAAGATATTTGCTAGCTAATATCCTCACAAGCACTCAATTGCATGCATTTCTCATCTCTTTCTCGTCTTGACCTCTTGTCAACTCACGTCGACTCACGTTAACTCACATCAACTCACGTCAACTCACCAAATTTGTAACACTTAATCATGTGAGTTTTCATTGATAGAGTTTCCTCTATCACCTCGAGAATAACATTCTCTCCTCTTGAAACTCATCGAAT